AGGTGCTACCTTTAGTGTGCTGCTTACAATTGCTTAATGCTTTCCTAATTCTAAAGACCTGAGCATCAGGGATTAAAGACCACCTTTTTCCTTAGATGTTCTCCCTTTCATGTGCAGCCTGATAAAACTTGCATAGACAGCAAAGCAGAGTGAGATAACAAGAGGGTGCAACATGGAGACATGAAGAGGCAGCTTGCTTCTGTCCACTTGTTTAAAACAATTCTTTCAGGGTCCCTTGAGAGGATATCCTGTAAGCTCCAGCAAAGCTGCTTCATTGTTCTCCTTTAAATACTTCCTTAAGACTCCTTTCGTTATCATGCCTCCAAAGAGCAGTGATTAGGCAATGGCCCAAATATGCCAGAAGCCTATATTGCTGACCAACTTTTCTTTGTATTTGCTCATCAAGGTGAGGTAGATGGGTGTGGGGTGCCATTGTACATAATGATGGGTAGATATGACATCACACCCATACAGACATTTGAAGCTGTTTGGGGCAGTGAACCTCTTTTGCTATGTGCTACATGTTCTACAGGCACAACTTTCTGGCTCGTGACTACAGTAATAAAATATAGGCTCCTGGAAAGCAGGCTTCATAATTGTTGATGGTCTTAAGCATACCAGAAGGAAACTGCAGCTGTAATGTTGCAACTTGAATGCACACATGGAACATTTGGGTTGGAGATTAGGAAGAACTTTCTGACTCTAAGGGTGGTTAAGTATCTGTATAGGCTGTTCTGGGCTGGTTTTAGAAGTGCTTCTCCTTTGAGCAAAGGGTTGGACTACATGAGGGCCCTTCCAGCCTTACTCTTCTGTGATCTAACTCTGAGGTGCTAGCTTGCTTTCTTGATACTGATTCTTCTCGCAAAGAACTTGGTAGATAATGAGATGTGTACTCTTAATTTAGTTGGGACGAAGTGGAAATAAAACTTTAAGACTCAATTCCTTAGAAAAGTTGCTTCCTGTTAAAGTTTGTGTGTGTGTATGTAAAAATTAGCAGAATATAATTAATAGCACAGTTCTAAGGCAAGAAGCTTCTTCATACAGGGTAGCACCACAGGATGCTTCTTGTAACCAATATTTATGGCCAAAAGCATTAGTGGGAGGGAGGACATTTGAGGGGAACTTTTCTCAACCTACAGCCCTTCCGGTATAGGATCAGTCACAACCCAAGCCTCTGATTTTTCTCTGTAACAAGGAGTTTCTCAGCAGGCTAAGCCTGTAACCTTTTGAGGAGACAACAAGTTCCAAGACTTATGGATAGGCATGCCTGGCTCTTCATCTCTTTCAAAGTGTCATGATCCTTCTCATTGGTAAAAACCTGTTTGTCTTCTGCAGGTTTCTGTCTGGATTCACCTGGCCCCCTTAACTCAAGTGACATCGAGGAAACGTATGTTTAAAAAAAATGTGTTTAGCTTTTAATTTATGGCATATCAGACTATACTGACAGCTAAACGTATGCTCATGGGGACCTTGAAGGGAAACTTTCATAGCAAGTGCATGTACAATGGTGTGCCCTTGCACATTGCAGCTTGAGATCTTAGATTCTGTGCTGTTTGTGGCACAGACTTCATACTTTGCTGGGTAATGTCTCTCACTCAGCCAAATTGTGTTTGAGCAGCTGCTTGATTTAAGTTCACCCTCTACAGTCTGCTTGGCCCTTGCCTCACAGGAATGGGCAGTGCAAGTGGGCCTCTGTCCTGTTTAGCTGAGCTCCTTCCTCTGGGGCTGACTTCCTTAGCTAAAGCATTCAGAGTTAGGAAGTATTAATGAGCCCCTTTGGGGAAACTAAGGGGGAGCTAAATGAATTTAGCTATTGATGTACCTTCTAAGAATCTTGTCCCAAGCCACTACAACATGCAGAGAGCATGTCGTCTGCTGTTTTTAAGGTGCAGAGGATTATAATTTGGGGATGGGTAATAGCCTGACCTGGCTTGAAGTACCTGAATTGCTTTAAACAGCCTGGATAGCTTTATGAATTGGTAGTCAACTATCATAATGTCTTTTGACTACCTCACAGCTAATGCCATGTAACTTTCTCTTCCGCTCTTTTTTTTCCTCCCCCAGCTTTGAGAAAACACTTCTGGAATCTGGCAGATTTAAGTAAGTTTAACTTTTATCTTTCTGTCTTAATTAACAATTTTTAGATTTTTTTTTTTTTTAACTTGTGCCATTTAGTTAAGTTTGGCTGTGGAAAATCTGAGGTTTATTGCCATTTGTTAATCTTTCTTCAGATTAAAGTTGAAATTTGACTTTCTCTTCTTATTGCAGCCTTCGAATGCCTGTCAGAAGGATACGCTCCCTCCCAGTAAGTTGGCATGGCAAAGGGTTCTCAGTGTTGAGAATTTCTGCTCCTTCGTGCTTATTTTTAATCTGTAGATATCAAACCAGTCTTGAGGGCCTGCGAATGTTGCTACTTTCTTAAAATTAAGCCTCTATAAATAGAAACGACATGTTAGGTTATAAGCCTGAAATGCTGTTTGAATTCTGCAATGCAATCTGTCACTGGCTTCATATAGATGCAGTTACCAAGTTTGAAGCAGTGGGTGTGGGAAACTTGTAGCCCTTGTGGGCTGTACTTCCAAACAGATTGGCCAAGAACAACAGCTGTGTCCACAAATGGGTGCCAGTTGGACATTCTTATTAGTCCCTTGGTTGCCTAAAATGTGCATGATGCTGAACTGGATTTACTCTTTCAACTCCAGCAGAGGCTTTTGGGTTCCAGTCCTGCTCTGAAGAGGAGCCATTCTGATTCCCTGGATTGTGATGTCTTTGAGCTACTGGAATCAGATGAAAATAAAGAGAATGTAAGTTTTTTGCTTGTTGAATGTAAGGTTGTGTGGGGTTTGTCACCAGAAACTGCTTACTTGAGGTGGCATGGGAATAACTTCTTGTGCAGGGACAAGGGTTTGTTACGAGCAGGACGTGAAACTTGTTGTATTCAAGTGAACTTCTAGAAATCTCAAACGTTGGCTACTTCTGCAGTTGACTACTAGAAAGACAAAGACCTAACTTTCCACTTATTTAATATAATTTTTAATTAACTGCAAAGGTATTTAAGTGCCTAACATGCATCAGAGCTGCAGACATTTAGTCCAGCATAATGACTGAGTTGGTATGTCATGTTTCAAGTTTACTGAGTAAAGTTGTTTTTTTTCCACTCCTGCTAGGCCTGGCGCAATCCTCCATTTTAATATGTTAGATCAGAATGCCTCTTTTTAAAGGCATTTTGTGCTTTAAATCCAACCCACAGGAGCTAAGCTGTTCTGGGGTTTCTTTTCTCCTAACTTCACTAAGGATATGAATTCAAGTTAACTGTCTTCATACTGAGTGGATCTTAACCTGAAGCTGTTTTGGTTTGTTTTTTCTAATGCTAACTAACACTGTCCTTGCTGGAACTCTGTGATTACTAGCTGTCCAGACAACTGCCCTACTGAGGTCATAATTAACAAATTGAACATCCCTACTTTTCATTAAATTGTATAAATTAAATCTCTAACCAACTTGTCCTTTGGGCTAATACGTCCAGCTCGTTATAGGACTGTTGTCTGGAAAGTCTGGCAATGCAAGTCTGAGGGCCCAGACCCCTGCAGAAGCATCAGTCTTTACCCTCTTCCCCCATGTACCAGGGGTTTGTCCCATCTTCCCATCCCAGTGACAGGCTTATCCTAGCAATTAGTGCACAGCTCTGGCTTCCTTTTAAATGATCAGGAGAGATTCTTGCTGGGAAGTTTGCACAGGAGAATATGAGAATTCTCAGGGCTGTAGAAATTAATCCAATTCCACTGAATTAAAAAATGGTTAGACCATGTTCTGGGCAGCAGAGCGCTGAGCCCAGAAGGGGAGGGGTGGGTGTTTTTATAGAACAGTTTCCACGCAGGGGTTTCCTCAGCTGTACTTTCTTGGTTTGAAATGTCTATCTTCTCCTTTCATTAAGGAGTCATTTGAGTTTAAGAAGCCGACCAGGCCAGCTTCCCGTAGCTGTCTGCGTGTTCGTTCCTATGATGATGGAAAAGATGTCCTCGGGCAAAGGCACAACTCGGATCGTGCTCAGATGGTATGCAGCCTTCTAGCAGGAAATAATTGCCCACCCCTGGGTTAGGTCTATGCTAGTAATACAACTCAATTTTCTTATTCTAGTTTCCTGCTGATGAAGTCCATGTGGGTGACCTAGAAATCTGTAGACCTGATTTTCTGCACCAGTCATCTCTAACATCTGCAACTGAAGACCTTGATGATGGATTCCTAGATATGTTGGATGGGCAAGACATAAAGGTACATGAGTTTGAATTTCCTCAGTGTGGTGACTCTCTACAGATACTTGATAATGCACTGAGGGAAAAACTATTCTAATTCAGCTTCTTAAAGAAAATGGTAAATTCTGAGTGTAAATTCTAGTTGAGCCCCCTCAGGACATTGGCCTGTTATGCACTCAATTCATGGATATATTTACTCGTAGTGGACTTGTGTAATTGGATCTGCTTTAGCCTCTGATGAAAGATTTGCAGAGCTGTACAAAGCTGGGCATTGGAGACCATCCTGAGAGAGGACCTAGTGACAGCGTTTTCCCATCTCTTGCCTTTCATAGAACTATAGAAAGCTTATGCTGCTGCTTTTAAGCACAGACTGTTGATGTCTTTCACGTATGCTCCTCTCCAGCAGACAGGAGCAGTTAAATTAAGCAAATACTGGTTCCTGCTCCTCTTCTGACACTTAAAGTGTCTTCAGTTACGAGGGGAAAGAAAGCAGCTGATGCAAGTGGGATATTTAATTTAGAAGCCAGACTTTAGAAGGATGGAGTCATGGCTAGTAAGCCCAGAACTGTCAGGACTTCTGTTCCTCAGAAAAAGTTTAGATTAGAAGTGTCAAACTCACATTTTCCCTGTCCTGGATCCAAATTGCAATGCTCCTTGCAGACTAGATCTGGCACTGGCAGCTCTAGGTGGGGCATTGGGAACACATCAGCAGTTCAGGCTGCTGTGACGTGCCTTGTACTGGAGCCACTGCCACATGTCGTATGTTGTGGCGGCAGCTCTGGCTCCTCTGGCACTGGGCACATGCTGACAGCAGATCCGGTTCCTCCAGTATGAAGCAATTGGAGGGCAACCTGGACTCTTTTGGCCCTTGGTTACCCTCTTGCTATCAATTGCCACGTTCACAGGGGACCTAGAGCCCTGGATTCTGCAGCAGGCCACTCTGCTCCCCCTGACCATGCCCCACAGTTTCCAGGGGCCTGGCAGGCTTGATCCAGCCTGCAGGTTGTATGCATGTTTTGACACCCCCAGCTTAGTGAGATGCTGTTTTCTTGAATCCACTAGACTATTAAAGGCACAGAGTAACCTCTGAATCATAAATGCATTTTTATTGAACAAATCGAAAAACTGATACAATAGCTTTTAAGCTCCTGTGTTCAGCAGCCTGGTCTCCATTAGACCAGACTTCCTGCTAAGTGAGGAATTTGGTTAAATGGTGTTTCTCTTCTGCAGTGGGAGGGCAGGGAGGAGTCCCAAAGCTGCCCTCAATTGAATTTAATTAGAATGACTGCATGAGCTGTGCAGAAACCCTTGATGTATTGTATGGCCACTGACTCTGATAAAGGAGATCTGAAATAGTCTCTCTTTCCTCAGAACAATGAGGAGGTGCCCTCTGATGTAGCAAGCCTTTGGACTGCTCCACTGGTCATGAGGAAAGCAGATAACCAGGTAAGCATTCCATCCCTCCCATGATGGCTGTCAGACCTTTCAAGGGCTATTAAGCTTCTGTAATTTAAGTAACAGCACCTTAACAACTATAATAGGCCTTTGTAGGCAAATTTATCCCTTGTGCACATCTGGCGTCCAAAAAGAGCTTTTGCTCCTGTTCTTTGGGACAGTTAGGTTTTGAGATCATAGTATAATGGCCTTTTAAAAATTGGCTAACTTTAATAATTAGAGGAACCTGTCTAAGTAGCCTGTGAAATGGTAGGGCAGCATCTTGGGGTTTAACCATATATCCATAAGAGAAATGCCTAAAGCTTGGCTCCTGTATCATCTGACTTGTCATGAATTGTGTATAGGCATCTCCACCCAGTCTGCATACAGATACCTGTAATGCACTCAGCCACTGTCTTTGTATTTAAAAAAAAAAAAAAAAAAATCTGGATTCCCCTTAAACCCTCAACTGAACCCCTCAGACTTCCAGTGAATTTGCTTTTAAGCAGCATTCAGTGTCCCAGATTCAGTAGGCTGTGTAGGCTTTTGGACCCAGGTTTCATGCAGCGCATGGCTAGGAAGTGTACTGTTTTCTGTACTGGATGTAGTCAGCTGGCTGGCACTGAATGCTGCAGTAGCTGTTTCCCTGGGACTATCCAGTATCCATTCATGTTCTTGCTGACTCTTAGTTAATATAGGAGTCTTCAAGTTCTTCAGGCTCGTTTAGTTCCTGATCTCAACCTTCCTGGCTAGGGGCTCTTATAGTTTCTGTTCTTTGCCTTTATTCCAGAAGAAGCGGTGCAGACTGTTTGCATCTCCATCTCTGTCCAATGGTGTGGCTAGGACTGCTGTGAAAAGAATGGAAAGATCCCAAGAAGACACTTCTCTAGGAAAGAGCAAAAAGAGAAAAAACATTCCTGCAATACCTTCTGAAGAAGCAATGGTTGGTGGCTTAACATCTAGTATTAACAATCCTTGTCTAATCATTTTATTCTGCAAGTGTAAACATCCCGTTAAGGATATTCAACAGAACAGTGGTCCTCTAGGTAGGTAACTGGCCATTTAACAGACTGCAGTATTTCAGTGCATGACTTAAGGGGCTGTTCTGGGTGGGTTAGTGATTCTTTTAGGGTTATGAGTAAGTTTTGTCTTGACATCCCATTTGAAATAGGTGAGGGGCAACAGGTCAGGACTTTGGGGTGCCAATACATCACTAGGGTTTGGTGTTTTTTGTTTCTTTTTTTACTCTGGGGCAAGTGTAGCAGTTCTCTGGGGGAGAATGCCTCTGTTTTGGTAGTAATAGAGCTCTTGTGCCTCCAGGGTCTGGCACTAGTCCGGAGGCAGTCATCTTCCTCAGCGGAGATTGAGACCATTCTGGACAGTGACCAGAGAGACCTCATTGGCGACTTCTCCAAGGTGATTCAAATGACTTCGTCTTTTCTTATGCATGAGTATTTCAGACCCATCCAAGTTTTATGTTCTCCCCTGTTCCAACAATGCACGTCTGAATGCTCTGTAAACGCTATAATAATCAAGTGCTCCTGAGAGGTAGCTTTGAGAGAGTATTTAAGTTCTTTACTCCTCTTCTCTATTAATTAAGTTGCGTCCATTTTTTCCTTCTCTCTTGAGACAATGGAGTCGTCAGGGCATGTCCTTTTCCTGACCTGCAAAATGTTTAGTTAAGCTTTTTGTGCGCTATAAACTACTAACTGGCTACTGTAAGCCTTACATCTCTGGCATAAATCTCTGATTCCAAAGAGGATGGAGCTGGACTGTTCTCAGTAGGGGCAGATGACAGAACATGGAGCAGTGGGCTCAAGTTGCAGCAAGAGATGTTAAGGGTTGGATATTAGGAAAAACTTTCTCCTGATGAGTGTGGTAAAGCACTGGAACAGGTTACCCAGAGATATGATGGAATCTCCATCCTTTGAGGTTTTTAAGGTCTGGCTTGATAAAGCCCTGGCTGGGATGAACTAGTTGGGGATGGTCCTGCTTTGAGTGGAGGGGTTGGACTAGATGACTTTCTGAGGGCCCTTCCAACCCTAATTTTCTGATTTCTATGAGGAATTCCATTTCTCATATCTAAGCCAGGTTTTTCTGTGTTTCAGAGTTACCTCTTCCATACTGTAGATGGAAAGCATCAGGACTTAAAATATATTGACTCAGAAATGGTACGTATCCTAAGGGCAATAAGGACTTGCTATGTACTATCAAGTGTACTAATATAGCTTCTAACACTCCTGAAATCTTGTTTCTCTGTAGATTGTGTCTGTGCTGACAGGTACATTTGCAAGCTTCATTAAGGAATGTGTGATAATTGACTGCAGATACCCATATGAATATGAAGGAGGCCATATCAAGGTACAGTGAGCCTGCAAGCAGAATGTACAGTTGTCTGAAGCACAACTGCCATTTTGGCTGAATTGGCAAGCACTGGAAAGTGTTCAAGATGCTTGCTTATTCACTGCTTAGGAGCAAGTCCAAAGCCTGGTTGGCTCTTGCTTCCTTTTGTGAATTAAGATTTGGTATCTGGCTAACAGCATGGTGGTCAGGCCAGAGCCACCAGACAGGATTGGAACTGCATTGTTCATGTGCTGAACAGACTCACGAAGACATGTGAGCAAGGCCTCCTGACTTATGGGTAGGCTTTTCCCCGGAGGATGAACATCCAACCCTTCTTGGTAGGGAGAGTGGGCATAATAGCAGGTGTGAACAGGGCTGGCCATGGATCCATTCTCTGGAGAAGCATCAGGATGTTAGGATAGCTAAAGTGCCTAGGGTCATTAAATGTTTAGACTCCAGATGAACTCTGCATAATAATATTCTAATGGGGAGAAATGGCCTTACACTTAGGTTGGTTCTGTATTGTTAGCACTTGTGCTGAACACTGCTGCTTGAGTAAACTTGCTAGATCTAAAAGCAGCAGTTGACCAAACTTGGGCTCTGAGAGGGAAGGCTAAAGCCTGTTACTACTTCATGTGGCCTCAAGCGACTCGTGAAGAATGCACCTGCTGACCCAGGGTTGTGGGTGCTGTGCAGCTGTTTTGCATGGCATGGAAGAATCACTGTGCTCAGTTTGGAAATAAGGGCATGAGGGAGTTGATACATCCCCACCCAACTGGCCCTACCTGTTCACCTGTGACTCTGTTCCCAGGGTGCTGTAAACCTCCACATGGAAGAAGACGTGGAGGAATTCCTGCTGAAGAAGCCCATCCCGCCTTCAGACAACAAACGAGTCATAATTGTCTTTCACTGCGAGTTTTCCTCAGAGCGGGGTCCTCGAATGTGAGTGTATGCTGAGATTACAACCCACTTAGTAACTGTGTGATGATCACTTATGGAGTTTTGTTTCCAAAGGCAGCCAGATGAGATGGTGACTTGTCTGCCACCTGTGCAACTTAGAACAGTGCCAGTTGTCTGTCACTTGACATGGAGCTAGTTACCAAAATGTCATTGTGCTGTATGTATGCCTAGCTGCAGGTGGATGACCCCTGTGCTGTGTTTCTCTGAAGAATGGGAAGTACAGGTTTAGAGTAGTTTGCACAAAAATAACCTTAAGACTGACGGGGTGCATAACTTTCTCTCTGAATTCACCATTTCAGGTGCCGGTTTGTGAGAGAGAGAGACAGACTAGGTAACGAGTACCCACACCTGCATTACCCAGAGCTGTATGTCCTCAAGGGCGGCTACAAGGACTTCTTCTTAAGATACCGAGTAAGAAGCATTTGTTTATGAGCTTTTAACTTCTCTTCTGTTTTCATTCATACTGTCAGGATAACACTGAACAAATTCCTCCCACTCCAAACTCAGTTCAGCTACTGGTTTTGCTGTTCTCCAGAACAGAAGAGAACCTTGTATTACGCATATTGATTTCACTGGGCATGTCTACGCATGCACTTCCATGTGCAGTAGCTTATTCTACTGTGCACTAACACATCCCATCAAAAACAGTGCTAATACACATTAGAAATGGGCTACACTAAAAAGGCATGCACACTTGCTACTGTGCATTAGGGCAGCCTAATGCACATTTATGTAGTACCTCATATTAGAGGTACTAAGCTTAATGTGCAGTAGCAAAAATGCATTAATGCACATGTAGTCCTCAGTCACGGTAATGCAGATTAAGAGCTACAGGTGACTTGCCTTCACTACAGACCACTTCCACTGCCTTGTCTGTAAGTCTCAGAGCTGCAATACTGTCAGCATTCTGTTGCTTGCTCATTTCTCTCGGGAGGTGTAGAATTGGGCTTCTGCCCTTTTGTAGTCTCTGGACTCTCAGAGCTCTGTTGAGACCAGACTTTTCATCATCTGTCTGATGAATGAAAATCAAAGTCTTTCATAGGTTTTCTCCCCTTTTTGGGGACACCCAAACATTTCTAAAACAATCTGCACTGGAAATTCTTAGTCCTTAATTGAAGTGACAGCCCTTCTTTGCTAAAGTATGAATGAAAATGACTGCTTGTATCAGCATGTTCTGTTTCCTTGGTGCTCTTGCTGTACTTCAGAGAGGTCTTGCTCCCCTTCTATGCGGCGCTGGTCAGGCTGCAGCTGGAGTACTGTGTCCATTTCTGGGTGCTGCACTTCAAGAGGGACATGGAGAACCTGGAGAGGGTCCAGAGGAGGCCACTCATGGTTGAGGGCCTCTGTGGCCAGCCCTATGAAAAAAGGCTGAGGGACCTGAATCGCTTCAGTCTCCACAAGAGGAGACTGAGGGGGGATCTTGTGGCTGCCTACAACTTTTTATCAGGGGCCACCAGCAGGGACTTGAGGAAAGTCTGTTCACCAGGGCCCCCCCTTGGAGTCACCAGGAACAATGGCCACAAGCTGAGGGAGGATAGGTTTAGGTTAGATATTAGGAAGAACTACTTCACTGTAAGGGTGGCCAGA